CTTTTATATATATATATATATATACATATATATATAAATATATAAATATACATACATATGTCTGACAGCGCAGCGCCTCATGGCATGCACCAAATAGAGTTTTTAAAGAGTGAGGCCATGGCTGCCTTTGCTGTTGTGTTTTGAAGGTGGCCTGGGAAGCCTTGCTCGTCTCCAGCATGTCTGAAACCTCGGGAAGCCTAAGTGTGGAGCCTTTCCCTCCAGTTTCTTCCAGAACTGTCCTGGACACCAAGCATTTCCTCTCCCTCTGACCCCTTGTCCCTGGGTCCCCACGCTTCTCCCCTTCACCCAGACGGCACACACTGCCCCCAGTGTGTTTGTCTAGTGAGCAGCATCTTGGGAACGGCGCGAGGCGCTGAGCAGCTCTCCTGACTCGAGTGCGCACGGAGGCCCGGGCATTGATTGCCTCAAGGGCTCTCAGAGGGAGCAGCACAGACTGTGGGTTTTGTTCCTCAGCCCTGGGAACAGATGCCTGGGGAGGGCGGCTTCTCGCGGCCCCCAGGAGCCTTCCTCAGCGGGCATGTCTCCCGGGGAACAGACATGAGAGCATGTACGGCCATGTCACAGCCGTGCCACACCAAGAGGACTTGCCAGGCCCTGCGCTGGAAGGTGGGCCCTCTGGCACGTGCACGGGATGGTGGCCAAGGCAGGAGCTGGAGCACCTTCGGTGGGCTTCTGCAGCCCTGGGCTTCAGCCTCACCCAGTCGAAGCTCTCCCGGCTGCTGGGCTGTGGGCCTGGCCCTGAGGAGGCCGTGCCATTGCCCGCTCTGCCACAGCCCCCAGGAAAGCAAGGCTGCTGCTGCTGCTCTGCCTGCACTGTGAGACCCCTCAGGCACTCGCTGGGTGACCTGCACTGCTTTTCACACTGCTCTGCTTGGCGGTAGGGCACACCCCAAGGAGAAGTCCAGGCCAAGGGCCTTCCAGCCTCCCCCACACGAATACCCTACCTCCATCCTCTTTTCTCCAGCTAGGAGTTAGGGCTTGCTGCCCAGCAGTGCCCAGTGACCATTTCAAGCCCCCACTGGTGTGCCTGCCCTGGGAGTTGGGATGGGCCCCACCAGTCCCATCACATGGCTCACATGCTAGGTGTTGCTGCCCTCCTGGCCCCTCAGCTCATGGCCACCAGAGGGCAGTAGGTGTCAGCACTGGGCTGCCCAAGGGGAAGCCACATTCCCAGGTCTCCATAACCTCCCCCACCTTCATCCTGGCCCAGGAGACCTGGAGTCCTCAGGCCCTCCTCCCGAGGCCCCAGCTCTGATTAGGCCTTACCCCTTCAGCACTGTGAGGCATTCCCAGACCCCTTGCTCCCATCCTCACTCCTGAGCCTGCCCCATATGGGCCTGGCTGGCAGTGGGTGAGCAGTGCCAGTCTGGTGGGCCTGAGTCAAAGGGCGGGATCGCCTGACCCTGATACCCACAGGGCTCTGCCCAGCAGGTGTGGGAGCTCGTCTGCACTGGGCCTCAGGGAGGGGGGGACGCTGCCTACTTCCCTGAGCTGTGGGGTTGCCCACACCAGCCCCCACTGAGGACAGAGGATAGACTTGACCAGCACTCCAGCTTCTTCAGACATGGCGCGGTTGTGAAACCACATGCTATGAGGCTGCAGGGGCAGAGCGGCCCCACTGGGGCTGGGGGTCCTTGTCCCAGGCAGGAGTTTGCTCCCGAGGAATGGGCCTTGTAGTCCCACGATGGAGAGCCCCTCAGCTGAGCCCGCTGAGGATGCAGACACGTGCTACCAGCCGCAGGAGTGAGTGCCACCCCGAGCAAGCATGACCGTGTTTATTGGAGCTGTGTTCAGGAGTATACAAAGAGTCTTCACAACGTCCAGTACAGAGGACAGTTTGTTCAGAACAAGCCAAAGCACAGAGTCAGGGCGGGGGGCACAGGGACAACCTTCCGGGCAGCTTTGGGCACATAACGAGCATTCCTGGGAAACATACGCACACGAGAGTCCACACGGACGTGAGCAGACGCACACCACACGCACCCACAGGCTAAAAACCAGGTTAAAAAAATGGAAAAGGACTTAGCATCATTTTAATGTATAAGTTTTGCCTCTAAAAATTTAAATCTCTTTATATATATATATATCTTAAAACATGGTGGAAAATTTGCCTGGTGGGCCGGCCTGGCAGCGTGCACTGCCGCCATCCTGTGGGCACCTGGCAGGCCACGAGCTGCAGCTCCTGTGGGGCGTACGTGCAGGAGGAAGGCCAGGGCTGAGGACACGCCCGTGAGCACAGCCCTTGCTGGTGTGTTCGGCAGAGGGCCGTGAGGGATGCAGCTTTGGAGCCCTGGCTGCTCCTGAACACACACTGGACACCCCCACCCACCCCCCGCCTTCAAGGCTGCCCAGGCCAGCAGGCCTTGGGGAGGGTGGGCAGTCAGCTGCCAGGGCAGGGTCAGAGTCTCAGCAGGAGGAGGCCGTCAGCAGCACCTGGCACCTGCTCGGGGGCTCCCTTGGAGGCTGGTATGTCCACACAGCCCTCATGGCCCACAGAACAGGCACCCTCGGGGGTGCCCCGCTCCTCCTCTGGGGGTCCCCACCGGCCCAGACCCTGTAGTCGCTGCTGTCGCTCCTGGGCCTGGCGGGCCCGGCTGGCGATGGCTCGCACACGGCTCTGGCCTCGGGAGGAGGAGCGCCGCAGGAAGCTCGGGCCCCCCACCACCCCCTCCCCTGCCGGGCCCAGGCTGGTGGGTGACGTGATGTCCCCTGCCTGCTGGAAGCTTGTCAGCCAGCGCAGCTGCTCTGTCAGGGCATCCTTCCGTGCTCCTGGCTCTGCCTGATGCACACCCCCAGGGGGGCCCAGGTTGCGGCTCAGGCTGCGGGAGTTGCCCTCAAAGCTGGGGGCAAAGTCATCGGCAGTGAGGTCCCCCAGGCTCTTGGACTTGGCAGCCACAGGGCAGTCCTGGAGGCCCACCAGAGAGAGGCGTCCCCAGTGCAGCCGTGGGTGCAGTCCAGGTGGACGCGGGGCTAGGGGTCGAGGCCGCAGCTCATCGGGCACGGGCGGCAACTGGCTGGCAGCCCGCAGGTTGGGGTTGGATTTGCTCTTGGTCACGGGGGTCAAGTTCGGGCGGGCAGCAGAGGCTGAGCAGGGCCGAGGGGGCAGGCGTCCAACTGGGACCCCAGTGAGGCTCTCACGGCTGCGGCCCAGGCCCAAGTTCGGCAGGGAGAGGTCGATGACAGTGTCACTGGACGACATGCTGGAGGATGAGGACACGCTGTCACGGTGGCTGCCCGGCTCCAGTCGCTGCCATAGCCGGTCACCACCAGTAGCGTCTGAATACACAACGGGGGTGGGGAAGGGCCCAGCCAGGTGCCGCCATCCGCCCAGGGGTTCCGAGGGCACCTGCCCTTCACTCTTGGCCCTTCTGACCATGGGCAGATGACCCGGAACCCGGAGGTGATTCTTGCCGTCCCGCTGGCTGCCAGGGCTCCCCTCCCGTGCCCCACTGGGGCATCCATCATTACAAGGCCACTGCCCGCTCTCTAGGGAGTCCTCAGGGTCCCTGTGGCCTCCAGTCTTGAGCTGGAAGTCCCTGGAAGCTCCCAGAGCCATCCCTGGAAGGCTCGCCACTTTGGCTCCAGGGCTTGCAGGGCACTGGGGCCCTTCCTGGGAGGGGCTGGTGAGGGTGGCCGTCAGTGGCAGGGGTCCTGGGCCCAAGACTGGCTCCTCAGCGATGGTTTCCAGGCTGCACAGAGGGGAGATCGACCGCTGCATGGAGAAGGGGCGGGAGTCTGGAGGCAGAAAGAGAGAGGGAGAGGAACAGAGGGAGACACAGAGAGACCGAGAAATAGAGACAGAGTGGAAGGGGGGCAGAAAGGACAGAGATAAAGACGAGAATTGTGTCAGGGGTGGGTGATAACCCGTAGGCCTCTGTGCCAAGGGACGATAGGGCCAGCCTCCCACCCGAGGGCACACCCAGCAGCTTCTCCATTTGTGCTTATCCAACAAAGGCAACCTCAGTGTCCCCCCTGCTGCTGCTGAGCTGGGGGAGGGAGCCTGGGTGCCTCTCCCCACACGGAGCCCTCCTGGGGCTTGGGGCAGCACAGAGCACACGGAGGGGCTGGGCCCCGTTACCTGGCAAGGCTGCTCTCAGTTCCTAACTACGGAGGCAGCATGGGGTGCGGGGACAGAAAGGAGAATGCGGTCAGAGTGGGGCGGGGCAGTGGGCAGACAGATGACAGTGAGACTGGGCAGGTACGCTGGGGAGCATAGGGTGGCCGGGTACAGGCTCAGGGAACATCCCTCCCTCCCAGGCTGGAGTTCAGGAGCCAGCTCAGCTCTCCTGCTTTCCTGCTAAGTACCAGCCAGCACGTGTCTGGCGCCACGGCCCTGGGGGCTCCTGGAGGCTCCTGGAGCTGAGCTGCTCGGCCAGCCCAGGCTTTAGTGAACCCGGGCCCCCAGAGCACATGGACTGTGCTCCATCAGCAGTCTGTAAACTCTGAGCGCACTAGGAGTCTCTAGAAGCATGGGAGGCGGGGAGCGGAGAGGACATCAGGGGCGACTGGGGCAGGCACCGACCGGGAAGGTTGGCGTGGGCTCAGCGATTGAGGAGGGAGGGGTCATTTCTCAGGGAGCACCTTGCTGAGACCTGGCAGGAGGGGGCTTCACATGGCGAGTCTCCCGGACTTGAGAAAGCACGAAGTGCCCAGCACGTGCTGAGACCACACTCCGCTACAGCACACCCTCCCGGAGTCCCAGGGCCTCGTGATCAGATGGCAGGGCCAGGGCGGAAGGGGCCGCAGGACAAGCCAATGGAGCAAAATACAATGGAGATGCCACGAGCACACCAAGGCAATGGTTCTGTGACATGGAAGCAGCAGCAGGTGACACTAGGCCCAGGCCATGCCAGAGGCCATGCAGGAAGACATCACAGGACACTGGGAAGAGCCGCTGGTCTTACCCGTGGAGAACATGGGGGATTTACTCCTGATCTCCTCCAGTTTTTGAACGAACAAGGCATTCATCTCTCCCTGCAGGGCCCCCGGCTGCTGCCTGTGGGTGCCCTCGGGCCAGTGGGTGGCCACCTTGGGGCTTCCCGGGCTGTCTGGGCTGCTGGAGTCCGAGGACATGGAACCGCTGCTGCCTGGCCCCAGGTGCCGGGTCCCAGGGCCCCTGCTCTTCCCTGGGATTGCTCGAGGGCCCAGGCCACAGCGGAGGGCTCCCAGCGAGTCTGCCCGGGCCTGGGGCTGCTGGCTGATGGCTGCATGCCTGTCCACAGGCCCTGGGCTGGGCAGCCGGTCCCTCCGCAGGCCCTCAGCATCCACGCCGCTGCAGGAGCCTACCACACACTTCATGCATGTGGCGGCCATGCCTGCAGGCCCAGGGCCCTCGGGGCCACGCGGGGTCTGCACCTGTGCCAGGCTCTTCTCTGCCGCTGCCGCCAGTGCCTTACCTCGAGGGCTGCTACTGCCGGGCCCTTCCCGAGACAGGGCTTCCGGAGCAGGGCCAGGGCTGGGGGGTGCCACATCATCAGCCGTCCCCTCGGAGCCCGCATCCTGTGTGCCCAGCACCAGCTCCGGGAAGCCCTTGCGGCCTGGCTTCTGGCTCTTGGTTGGGGCGCTGGCCGTGCGCCGCAGGAGCCGTTGGCTAACGGAGGGCCGGGGCGGGGGCTGCCCAGCAGCATGACTGTCCAGTGAGCCGGGCTTTGAGCCCCGGAGGAAGAGGCCTTTTAGGCCCAGAGCCTGCTTGACCTGCAAGAAAAGGAGTCCACATAGCGGGTGCCGGGCAACACCCAGCCCAACCGCGGCTGCAACCAGTGGGGCCAGCTCTCCACAGGGCACAGGCAAGCAAGTTGGAGTGCTGGGCCAGGGCCGCCCATGGCTAGCCAGCCAGGGACATCTGCCACAGGGGCAGGCTCTCCACAGGCCAGTGGCTGCTATGGCCTGAATAAGGGCCACCCATCTCCACTCTGGGTAGAGGCGGGTGCTGGTGACATATCCGAGGGACCGGGGAAGGCCTCTCCCCTAGTCCTTCTAAGAAGAGATCTCAAACCTAGGCCCTAGCCCACCACACCTGTACCTCTTCTAAGGTACTTCACCCCGCCCCCAAACTCCAGCAGACCGTTGGCACAGGAGCACGCAGGGAGTACTGACATGGCGAGAAAGACGGAGAAACTGGCAGCCGGTACCACCCTGGGTTGTGGTTACCTGCCCTCAGCCACCAGCTTCTGGCCATAAAAGCAAACAGCCAGCAGCTTGGTTAGCTGAAGTCTGATCTCCTGTGGTCCTTACCCTGCCCACTCCCCTGGTGAAGCACCTGGCCCCCGGAGATGCTGCCTCTTACAGGAAGCCTTCCTGAAGTCCCCCAGGGAGACTTTCCCAGCCTCATCACCCTGCTCTCTGCTCACACAGCTCTTGAGGGCCAATGACAAGATACTCTATAAACCATTGTCCAAATGGACTCAGGCTTCCAGTCCCCAGGTCACCAGGCCATAGCCTGGACAACTGGGCCTGGGCGGTTCCTGCAGCCTCCCTGCCTGAGGAGGACAACCAAGGGGCTCTGAGATTAGCTGGAGAGAGCCAGGCAGCTGCATCTTAGGTATGCTGAGGCCAGAAGGATCCTCACATGCCAGGTACCCCCACATTTCCCAGAAACCCCAACAACACCCAGCGCTCCCCCCTGATGGGCCGTGCTCGTGCGCAGAGTGGCCCCGGGCCTGGCGGGCAGGTCACCCCCAGCAGGGGCGCTTCTGGGCAGAGGCATTGAAGTGCCAGCACTTGAATCAGCATCCTGATTCAAGATCCCAAATCCAGTGCAATTTGGTGAAGGGGGCTGGAAAGCCATTTAGAGGAAGATCCAGGATTCGGGCTTGGATTCCTGAGCTCAGGGACATCCCCCACCCCAGGCACCAGGCGTGGTCTGCACAGACCCAGGAGGGAAAAGGGAGCAAGACTAAGAAATGACAGCTTGGGGGTGGGGGCAGGGGTGGAGGACAGAGGGGGAAGAAGAGGAAAAGGGAAGGGGCCCAAAGGGGTGCTCAAGAGATCTCAGCCAGAGAAAGGGCCATTGATGGGTGGGCCGGGAAGACGGAAGGTGAGAGAGCCCAGTGGGGAGGGAGGGCAGGCATCACAGGGAGATAGGCACACGGCAGGCGGCCTTCGCCGAATCCTGGATCTGCCTCCTAAATGCCACTCCCTGGCTGAGGATGGCCCAGGGGATCCCGGAACCACGTCATGATCCATGTCACATGAGCTGACAGTCTCCAAGATGCTACCAGGAGTCACGGATGCTAATGTGGGGTGCGGCCTGAGCATGCAAGTGGGGGCGGCGGGCTACACCGTCCCGTGGCAGTGGGGTACCTTCAAGGCTCCTAACAAGGCTGTGCTTCTAAAAGTAGACTTTGGACATAGAGAAGCCCACACTGCAAGACCAAAGAGACAGAGTGAAGGCAGGTGAGGAGGCAATGGCGGCCAGGGTTGGGGAGCCCTGTGGGCCCGCGGAGACAGGCAGACACACGACAGACAGATGGACGGCAGGCGGAGAGCTGGATGCTGCGGAGCTCGCGTCCGGTGGGCATCTCCGGGCCCACAAGTGCAGCAGGAGAGAAATTGTTAGTATTGGGCTCTGGACAGGACCCCAGTGCCAACCTCACCGAAGGGTGCTAGACCCCAGCACACAACTGGGCCCAGACCCAGAAGGTTTGAAAGGCTCTGCAGCCTGGGAAAGTCAGAGCCAAGAGCATCCTGCAGAGGCACCCCCGTTCTAGCCTGGCCGGGGGCAGGAGGCTAATGTGCTGGGGAAAGAAATGGGGCTGACCCGGGCAGCCATCTCCTGCGATCCTGGGAAGCGGAAGGAGAGGGAGGGGGGATGGTCAGCACCAGGAAGCCTGCTGTGTTCCATCCCTGCTGAGGAGCCAGGGCAGGGCCTGGGAGGCCACCGAGGGAAACATACACTGCGAGGGACGCCCAGGGCACCCCTTCCTAGGGGGGAGACACTTGGGCCCTACACCCTGCCCTAGGGTTCCTACTCAGGGTCAGGTGTCCCCCAACAGCCCCTGTACCAGGGGGAAAGTCCAGAGAAGTAACTGCTAGGCTTCACTGCGGGGTCAGGAGTTGGCTCTGGGGACACTGCTGGGAACGTGGGGCGAGAGGCAAGAGCAGGAGGCCCAGCAGGTAGCACTCACCTTACCACTGATGTCACTGACAGCCACATGCACAAAGATGGAGGCCTCTTCCATCCCCTCCAGATACACATGCCGGTAGCCTAGAGCGGCAGGGTTGTAAGCTCACCAGGGCTGCCACCTGCCACCCCCACACTGGCCTGCACTCTGACTTAAAGGTGCCCAGGCCCAGAATCTGGCCTATGAGCCCAGTCCTGGAGACTCGGCTCACGTGGGCTCAACACTCACTGCACCTCCTCCTGCAGGGATGTTTCCTGGGTGACCCTTCCTGACAGGCCACACCCCACCCCTACCCCATGGCCTGCTTGCTCACTGTCCTCTCCCTTTGTCACCAGGCTCAGGTACCCACAGCAGCTGCTAATTCCCAAGATGCTGGCGCACCCTGCCCTGCCCCGGAGCCCTCAGTTGGTTGTTTGGGGCACACTGCTATGGGGGAGGCACTGGCTCAGGGCTCCATTCTCCCCCACGCTGGGCCCCCACCCACCTGGCATCATGCTGCTGAAGGCCAGTGTCCTCTGACCGATGAAGTCGCGACCAATGGGGTCGTGGTCCCAGACAAGGAAGCGGACCAGTGCAATCTCGGGCATGTGCACCGTGAACACCAGGGTCTCCTCCCACATGGGGTTGAATCCTGGAGGTTCCAGGGAGGAATATCACATGGGCAGGGCCTGTCTCCCCCACAGTCCAACCTAGAGGCCATCTAGCTCATGCCATCTCCCAGGACCTACCCTACGGGACCCAGTGGGAAAGGGAGTGACACTGATAGTGGGGGCCAAGGGAGCAGCCCCCCAAGGGTGGACTGGACCAGATAGAGCACCTGGGCACTCTACATGGTGGGTGTCTTCACCGCCTCCCTCCCCCAGGTCAAACTGTCACCACCAACACGGGGGCTGTGACAGGGCCGTGGGCACAGGCTGACCTGTGGGTGCCTGGGCCAGCCCTCTGACCTGCCCTCAGCCCGCCATGCCCAAGCCCTCACCGTTGTCATCTACCACGCGGGTCTGTTCCTTATTGCAGTCCACGGGGAGCCCAATGACTTCCACCTCCACAAAGGGGTCAATGATCTGAAGACAGAGGGGTCCAGTGTGACATTGGGACCTGGGGGCTGTCTTCCAGCCTGCCTCCTGGCAGGCTCCCCACCTGATCTGTGCCTGGGCCAGCCCTCCTACCTCCCCACGATCTCCGAGCATCGAGTCCCGAGGCTTGGGGAGCTGCTGCCCACTGATGATCCGGAGGACCAGCTGCTTCTTGAGCTGCCCAGGCAAGGGGTCCTCTGAGTTGGGGTTGAAGACACCTGAGGAGATGCCAGGGCTGAGGGTGAGTGAACCCAGCCTTCAGCAAGCCCCTGCCCACACCAACTAACTGAGTGCCACTGCCGGCAGTCCCTATCCCACACCCATAGCAAGGACAGGAGCTGTGCCCAAGTGGAGGCAGGGAGGAATCTCAGCAGGCAGGTCGCTCGGACCTTCTGACCTCCCTAGGATGTGGCACAAAGCCCGTCCCTCCCAGTGGCAAGCAGGGTCCCTAAAGGCAGTAATAGAGTCCCAGTGAAAAGAGCAGCCAGGGCCTTGCTCGGGCAGACAACCTCCAGGAGAGCGCAGCGCAGGTGAGAGGTGGTGCTGCATGAGCCGAGGGAGTGGGCGAAGGGCCGGCATTAACGTGGGGGGGAATCTGCCAGCCACCTGTAGCATGTCAGGGAGAAGGCTGACATCTGATGGGGAGGGGAGGCGCCTCAAACTGCTCAGCCCATACTCTTGGACTAAAGGGACTTGGCCCGAGGCCCACAGATGAGTTTGGGCACAGTGGGTAGGCGTCGGAGAACGGCTGGCACCAAGTCACTGACAAATCCTACCAGGGACTCTCACATGGGGTCTGGGCCACAGCAGAAGGACTCCCTAATTCCTGAACGGCCCTGGATTCTCGGTGGAGTGGGGGTCCTTCACTGCACCCCAGCAGAGGAGTACTCCCCCCACCTCCCAGCACCCTGGGAGCTGCATGAGCTTCCAGGAAGCCTGCCAAAGCTGCCCATCCCCTTTGCTATCTTGTGCAGCCCCCAACTCCAGTGTTCCAGGGTCCTCCCAAGAGGTCTACCCAAGCCCTTAATGCCTCACCCTGGCACATGCACTGGGGCTTGAGCACGTAGCCACAGTTGCCGTTGGCACTGAACTTGGCCCGGTTCAGCTGCAGCATCCGCCCCTCTGTCTGGTAGTTCAGGGCCACTGTGGAGGGAGGACACAGGCCACCCGGGTCAGTACCCAGTCCTTCAGGCACGTGTCCTCAGGCTTGAGGCCACCTGCCTCCTGTCACACCAGCCCTCTCCCCTGCACAACGACCTACAAGTCGGCCACTCGCCCACTATGCACTGGGCCCTGGAGGCCACAGCTGTGCAGGACTGGGGCTATGTGTATGTGTCCTGGCAGGACGTCCCCTGGCATATAGCACAGCCAGCCTCCAGGAAACCCCCCCAGGAGAGCATGGGCAAACCTTGGGTCCTCTCTCTCTCTCTCTCTCTCTCTCTTTCTTTTAGTTTTCTATAGGGCACTTGCACTCACCAGAGAGAGACAGAGAGGGGAAGTAAGAAATCTCCCATGGGGGGATGGCCACTCCACAGTCCCTTCTCTTGGGATTTTGGGCATGCACACATACATGCCCGGTGTGTTTTTCAAGCTGCTAAGTCTGGTTCTAAACCGTACAGTCAGCCATGCAGGGCCCAGCTGCCTTAACCAAACCACCTGACTGACCCCACAGACCTTAGGTTCTTTCCCACCTTGCCCGGGGGTGTAAGGACCCTGCCCCAGCCTGGCACAGCAGGCAGCACTCAGGAGATACCCTCCAAAGCAATGGAGAGAGCGCCAAGGACAGACCCCACCCTCATGGCCCCAGCGCCAGGCTGCAGGGACTGGTCCACGCCGGCCAGGGCTAGCCCCTCCTCACCATCGCACCGTTGGCACCCACCCATCTGGCAGCCAGCGTTCCAGAAGGGCTGCGGGTTGTAATTGCTAGAGTCGACGCGGTAGGAGGAGGGGTAGATTCGGGAGAGCTGGTGCTGGTTGAAGCGCAGGTACTGCGCTGGCTTCTGCTGCAGGATCTGGTGGGCCTTGGTCTCGCTGAAGGATGACACCTGCCAGCTAGATGCCACTGGGGCCGGACCGGCGGGGTCGGATGCTGAGTCTGCAAGCCTCGTGGGTGCCCCGCAGCCTGGCATGGCAGGGCAGCCCTCCCAGAACGTCCCGGGC